TGTCAGACAGCCTGACGCGGGGTGTTGTCGTCCACAGAGGAAGAGCCCTGAAATGAAGGGAAGCCGAGGGTCGAGAGGGCCACAGACAGACAATGGACAAGCTGCCAGCAAAGGAAAAGCAGAGTAAAAAACAAAACCAGTTCCTGTGCGCGCCTGTTCACTAAACAAACGCCGCTCGCCACTTTGGCACGTTCGCCCCCTCGTGCCACGCACACCCCATCCGTAAACAGTCTCCAATGGGCTTTTTAGTGGTCATTAACATAAGAATGTTAGGCTACCCCCAAGGAAATGCAAACGAAAAAGCCTGTCATGTGGATTGAAAGAAGTTTCTCCTCTCTCGACCTGTTGTTGGTAGTGGTCACGAGGTAATCACACTTTGTGGCTATGAGGGGGAAGCACTCGGCTTCATTTCGCCACATACAGTGGTACCGCTACTTATGAAATTAATTGGTTCTGGAAGAAATTTCTGAACTAGAAAATTTTGTGAGTCGACGTGTTTTCCATGTAAAAGCCCTAATCCGTTCCAGCCCCCCCCCCCTTCCCAAAATTCAGACATAAATGTTTTATAAAGCATAAAAATGCATCAAAATATGGAACAAATGCATGTTATAATTAAATTATTGCACAATAAATGAGTGTAAAGAATGAAAATGATGGTCATCTAACTGTGTCCTCCTTGTTTTTTGCCCTCTTAAGTTCATGTTCTCTCTCAGAAGTGGTTTTTGCCTGGCGTTTTGTCAAGAACTGATCCACGGGCATTTGCTTTTAACAATCCTTCGAAAATGTCCAAGGCAAACATCAGCATAGTGGGCGATCGCCCGACTGGTGAACACTTTTTCTGGTGATTTACATTTACGCAAAACTATTTAAACACCTCAATGACGAGGACGCTACATTGACACATTTTTTTCCATCTACACACATCAAGACATACGATAGAGGTCCCTTTTAGCCAATGGGATGATAGGATCATGCTCTGTAATAGCCAATGGCAGAGCAGCTATAAGTATGTTGCGTTCAGGAAACTCGGAGCTGTGAGTAGCAGACCATCCTGTATTTTTACCTTTCGTATCTTGAAATTTCTTTCGGAACAAGAGGCAATATTTTCCTGTTGAGGCGTTTTGTAACTTGAAAATTTCATATGAAGAGACGTTCGTAAACAGAGTTACCGCTGTACTACAATGCTTGCCAAATTCAAACCGTCGCCCGTGTTTACAGACCACCAAATGGCCGTCGTTCTTTGTTTCGTAGGTATATGCAAATACAAATCACTGGTCAAGGAAGAAGCCAATAATTTTTGGTTGGCTATTCGGCAATTCCAGAGTCGATCTGCCATTCCATAAATATGCACTTTTGCTTAATGAGTTACTTGTCGAAGACGGTGTCACCACGTATCCCGAGTTCATCTTGGAAACTGCACAAAGAAATAGTTGCCAAAATGCAGGTCAAACTTTACTATTTTATGCGTGCTATTTTTAATTTTTTTCGTGATCAGTGGTGTTCGAATGGGCTCTTTGTTGTCCCTGTGTGAACGATCGCATCCTTGAACTGTTTAAATGAAAGGGGATTGTCTTTTTCTTGGGGGGCCAGTGCATTATTCTGACCCCAAACTGTCAGCGGCCGCGGGTCGCTGTGAAGGCTTCCAATTCCATACTAATCCGATTAAGATTGCTTGGTCTAATTGAGCAATCCGACACTGATTACCTCAATAACAGGACCCCTCACCCCCAGTATTGTCCAACTGCCGCCTACCTGTAGCTGAGCACTTCATGCAAATCCCAACTTGTTTTTTTTTTGTCACTCTGACCCAGTTTGAACATCTACTCAAATGAGGCGGTCTCAGGCGGCATTCTGCTTCCAATGCAAAGCCTTCATACAAGGAAGCAGAAATGAATCTCTGATAAGGCAGTAGTGTCGGGAACCAGTTAGATACAACTCTGACATCATGTCCAGCAAGCAGATCTAAAGATGCGTTAATTATGCAGCGCTGAGTCCTCAAGCTTGTTTGGAGCGACCCCACCGGGCAGTTGCAGCTGAGACGTCCACTTGCGTTTGTAGTCTGCAATTCAATGCATTGGCATGACTAATAACAGGCTCTACCTTGGAGCATTTGGGGCCTCTCTGCCCTTGGGGTTGCATTTTTTTTTTTTTTTTTGTCCCGGCTTTCGGATCCGAACATCTGTCAGGGACAATTCATCCGCGGCTTCTCAGAAAATCAACACGACCATCCCAGCGTCGTCCTGGAAACTCCACCCTAATGTCAACCAGCTGACTTTTTATTATGCAAGTCTCGCAAACGTAATCAGTTTTTTCCCGCAATACATCATTGGGTCACCGATAGCATTGAGAGCAAAGGCATTCTCAGTCCAAGAATGATTGTGCTGGCGTACCGTTGCGTTGCTTTGTTTCCACCAAAGAGCGTTTTCGTATTTCGGGATGGGACTCCTGGAAGTGTTTTGTGGTCTCTCGGAAAGTGGGAACAGTGTGACCGGCGTCATCTGTGAGCGCGCGCCATACTGCCAAGTGGAAATTCTTGTCAAGTAAGATGGAGATCACAGGCTTGCCAAAAGCTCGGCCTCAGGGCTCTACAACCACCAGGAGAGAGAGGGCCGCAGGGACCTACTAATCCCCTTCCTTTTGGATTACAGTCGACCCTCAGAACTCAAATACAATCCCTTCCAGGGGGCTTTTCAACCATTTCTAATCCATTTATTTGGATTGCCCAAAAAGAGAAGAGTGGATTTGTCTCATTTCAATGTTTACAAATCTACACAGACTCTTCATTGTCACATGAACATGCCATCCTGTTGTAGGTCATTCCAGTTTACCGTATTTTCCGGATTATAAATTGCTCCGGAGTACAAATCGCAACAGTTATAAAAGGCCTAATGAAGAAGAAAAAAAAAACACAAGTCACGCTGGAGTATAAATCGCATTTTTGGGTTAAGTTTATTTGATAAAATCCCAACACCAAGAACAGACATGTCATCTTGAAAGGCAATTTTAAATAAAAATAAAATAGAGAACAGCAGGCCGAATAAGTGTACTATATGCTAACGTGACATGACGCATAAACAACGAACAGAGAATGTGCCTGGTATGTTCACGTAACATATTAAGCATTGTTCAGATAACTATAGCATAAAAAACATGCTAACAAGTTCACCAAACCATCAATGTCACTCCAAATCACTAAATCCAATGAAATCTTAATCTTCGGTGTCAAGTTTAATGAACTGCACCATCTCCGAAGGTAGAAGATGCGGCGCTTCCTCTTCTACGCCGCTTACGTCAGACTCGTCATCGACTTATCAACACAGGCCTAGAGCACCCTCTTGCGGTTTAATGTGAAAATAACGTGAAATGATCGAATAATGTGTGAATATTTTCACACATAAATCGCTCCAGAGTATAGGTCACACCCCCGGCAGAACGATGAAAAAAACTGATTTATAGTCCGGGAAATATGGTAATAGCAGTGTGTTTAAAAACAAAAAACTTTTAATGATGTTATGATTGGGCCTTGTGTCATTTTGAGTATGAAAACACTTCTCGGCCCTAAAAACAGTAAATTATGTTGGCAACTGACTGGCACTTTCCTGTGCTACGTAAACACACATTCTTACGTCGCTGAGAAAGCGAGTTCATTGCTTTCATAATTCACAAAACGTCATGTGTCAGGGTCATCGTAAACAGAGGACCCTGTGTGTATCATCTTTGTACATGCAAATGCTTTGGGACCACTGCGCATTGTATTCCAGAGACAAGTGGCCACACTACCTGAGAGAGTAAAACATTTAGTGTATAAAAGGCTGGAAAATGTGGAATATTTCACTTTTTTGTGGATCACAGAATCTCGAAAACAATGTAACATATCACCACCATTTTTGAGAAACCGCTTCATGTCCCGGTTACATATTTGGCCAAACTTTTGGCACCTTAAATGAGCATAGCATGCTAACGTTGCTGGAGTCAATGATTTTAAAATGTGTAGCAAACCATAGCTTTGGACAATCACTTCCATTTGTTCAATTTTTTGGGGGCCAACAAAGAAAAGAACAAAACTGACTGTGGACGTGGCATTATGCAAAGCAAGCAGACACAATGCACCAACTTGAGTCATTTCAACCACAATGACCAGCCATACGTGGAGCTGATAGTCTTTCAAGTTTGTCATCAGATTATCCTTTCCGTGGGCTGGCTGCCTGCGAGGGTTGTGTGTGCAGTGATCCGGCATCCAGTTGCTCTCAAGTCGAGCCGCCGAGGTGATTAGTGCACTCTTGATTAGCGACGACAAAATCTCACTGAGCCTTTTGGGCCTACACAGTTAACAAATTTGAACACATTTTTTCCCCCACTCAATAATTCATTTAATGTACCTTACAACTTGCTGCTCACAGTTTTAATTACCGTATTTTCCGCACTATAAGGCGCACCTTAAAACCTACAATTTTCTCAAAAGCTGACAGTGCGCCTTATAATCCGATGTGCCTTATATATAGATCAATATTCTGACTTCTTGAATTTTAAAGTATTTTAAATGTTCTGGAAAGAGCTTTGTTAAGGCTCTCTAAATGAAGCTGTGTTGTATTGTATTCCCTTTAGCATAGCTCCATCTAGTGGATGCATCACGCAACCGCAGCCACTATAGTGGTTTCGTTTTTATTCGCCTTATAATGCGGTGCGCCCTAGATATGAAAACAGTTTTAAAAACGCCTTATAGTGCGGAAAATACTGTATCTATTATTCCTTAATGGGATTGGAGAATCTCTGATTTGAACTCCTGCGCATGGATGTAGCGTTACTGCCCATAACTGATGCCACGTTGGTGTCCTTTGGACAGAAAACGACTGTAGCATAGACGGACTTGATAGTACGTCTGCTGGTTGCAGCCATTTTGTTTTAATTTCTTTAGGATGCCATAAAGCAACAGTCAGTGTATTATGTGTGTACGTCCCTGTTGTTAACGTTGAACTTATGTCATTGGTCGTTCTCTACAGGAATTGGAAAGGTGAAGAGCAGGAAAGGGGGCATGAGGGATACGGCCTCCAACGCCGACACCGACATGTACGCCGACAACGGCGAGCGCCTGTACGACCTGAACCTGCCTGCCCTGGTCAAGTTCAGTTACGCGGCGGAGCGTGAAGATGAGCTCTCCTTGGTCAAAGGCACTCGGGTGGTGGTGATGGAGAAATGCAGTGACGGCTGGTGGCGCGGCAGCTACAGCGGACGCTCCGGCTGGTTCCCGTCCAACTACGTGACAGAAGACGTGGACGGGACGGCGGGAGGAGGAGGGCCCGGCAGCCTCGGGGACCCGTCGGGATCGCTCACGGAGAAGCTGGCGGCCGTGGTGAACAGCACAGCCAACGGGAACCGGGTGTTACACACGGTGCAGGCGCTCTACCCCTTCGGCTCGGACAACGATGAGGAGCTGAACTTTGAGAAGGGGGAGGTGATGGAGGTGGTGGAGAAGCCCGAGAACGACCCAGAGTGGTGGAAATGTCGCAAGGCTGACGGCCAACTCGGCCTGGTGCCCAAGAACTACGTGACGGTGCTGGACTCGGCCTCGCACAAAACCACAGCGGGGCCCGCCGGCCCACCCACACCCGACTGTGACTACATTTCGCCGTCCGGCAGCGGGCGATTCGCGGGCAAGGAGTGGTACTACGGGAAGGTGACGCGCCACCAGGCGGAGGTGGCACTCAACCAGCGAGGCACCGAGGGGGACTTCCTCATTCGAGACAGCGAGTCATCAGTGAGTTGATAATTTCGAACCGTATTCGAGTTGCTATTCGTCATTCTACATCAGCGGTCCCTAACCTTTTTTTCCCTACGGACCGGTTTCATGTCAGACAATATTTCAGAGACCGGCCTTTAAGCCCGGATAAATACAACAAAATAATAAGATATGACCGACATGAAAACTGTGATATTTTCAAAACATAATAATAAACACGAATCATGACACGAGGAACGTCCTATCTGGCCGCAACACACTCTGGTTGCTCTGGTAACGTTTAAACGTGCCTTCCAAATAAGATACACCGCACATACAAAGTGCATGAAAAATACGACTCACCATTGCCGCATACTATGCAGAGTGGACTTGGTATGTAGGAATCTCCCGTTGAGATAAATCCATATTTTAAGTTGGACTCCTGATACTGTCTATTAATTGCAGCCTTTTTTTTCTTGAAAGTCGAAGGCTCGTCTTCTGTCTCCTTGTTGGGCCATTTCCCCTTCCCAAAGAAACTTTCCAAAGATGTTTGTTTTTTTACTCATTTTGTGAGCTCCTGGGTTTCATTGTAGCGGTAAACGATCATGTGACCGAGAAGCGCACCTTCGCCTGCGTCACGAGTGACCTGGGTTTCATTGTAGCGGTAAACGATCATGTGACCAAGAAGCGCGCCTTCGCCTGCGTCAAGAGTGACATACTGGAGACGGATACAACAAGAGAATTTTTTTTTTTCAAAATAAAACATCTTCCAGATTCCGAAGTGAATAAAACGGAAGTAATGTAAGTTATTTCATCTTTCTATACGCCCCGGGGGTTGGGGACCGCTGCTCTACATCTAAAGTAATCTGCGGCATACACGATTTGCAGTTCACTGTTCACCTATTTAGGCTTTTTTTTCCTGTGCGATGATCAGCCACCAGCTATTTGCTGAGAACCAGAGTTTTAAAAGAAAGAAGGTCCTTGATTTACGGCGGTCTCTGTCGCCTCTCAAGGTACTATGTCGGTGTAGACTTGAGTCATTCATGTCAACTGAATGAACGCATCTTGGTTGTTGAAGACGTTTCAACTTGGGATTCTTCCATTCCAAATCTCGGTTTGCTAACGTCACCGTTGCTTGAGACAATCCACGGGAGAGTGATGTCGGGATAGTGTTAGCTGATGACCAGTCATGACGCAGACCTCCTCCTCTGTTTGGAGAAGGCAGCAGAACCGAAAGTTCCTTCTTTTTGAGATGCAAATGAACTGCTGACTCTGGACCCATGTCGTGCCATGTGTTAATTTTTGGTGGTTGCTCGGTCACGCCGATGTCAAGGGCACTGCACCCCTCACGACACTACACTGCACTGCATGAACAACATTGCTGAGTTTGCTGTTCTGGATTCTGTCCTTGGGTTTGAACCGTCTTTTGTCTGAGGGGGTCGCTGCGTTTGAAGACAAGCCACCCATGTAAAGGACCGCGGCGTTACTCCCCCTATTGTTGTCGTCCCCGGGATTGGTCTTCGTGGCTTTTCTTCTGTCAGATAAGACAAAAGCCCACATCTAACTGGGTCAGTCACAGTGACGAAGCTCTGCAGGAGCCTGGTAATGATCCTAAGCATTTGAATCAGGTTTATTGGAGGAGGGAAACATCTAAAATATTGCCCTCGAGGACCAGAGTTTGACACCCATGGTGGAAAGAATGTCATCGTGTGCAACAAGAAGGCACGCTCAGTTACCGCCAGTTTTTTTTTTATTCGTATTGTTGGATTGGAAGTGTTTTCATATGAAAATTTTCTGTAATTATCCATCCATCCATCTTCCGATCCGCTTATCCAGGGTTCCCACGGGTCCGTAAAGTTCATAAAAATAAATAAGAAAAGAAGTTGTAAAATTATGTTCTTAATTGTCCTTAATTTTCAGGGAAAGCTTCGAAAATCAATAAAAATCCGTAAAAAAAATATTTTTATTCCAAAATAAACTGATTGTTGGATTGGAAGTGTTTTCATATGAAAATTTTCTGTAATTATCCATCCATCCATCTTCCGATCCGCTTATCCAGGGTTCCCACGGGTCCGTAAAGTTCATAAAAATAAATAAGAAAAGAAGTTGTAAAATTATGTTCTTAATTGTCCTTAATTTTCAGGGAAAGCTTCGAAAATCAATAAAAATCCGTAAAAAAAATATTTTTATTCCAAAATATGCAGAGTAGGCTTGGTGCGTGTGAATCTCCCGTTGAGATAAAGCCGTATTTGAAATAGGACTCCTAATACTGTCTATTAAATGTAGCCTTCTCTTTCTTGAAAGTCGTCGGCTCCTCTTCCGTCTCCTGGCTGGGCCTTTTCCCCTTCCTGAAAAAACTTTTTAAAGACGTTTGTTTTTTTATGCGGTAACCTATCACGTGACCGAGAAGCACGCATTCACCTGTGTCAAGAGTGACATATTGTAGAATGATATAACAGAATCCGATTTTTTTTTTTCAAAATAAAACATCTTCCAGATTCCGAAGTGAATAAAACGGAAGTAATGTAAGTTATTTCATCTTTCTATACGCCCCGGGGGTTGGGGACCGCTGCTCTACATCTAAAGTAATCTGCGGCATACACGATTTGCAGTTCACTGTTCACCTATTTAGGCTTTTTTTTCCTGTGCGATGATCAGCCACCAGCTATTTGCTTAGAACCAGAGTTTTAAAAGAAAGAAGGTCCTTGATTTACGGCGGTCTCTGTCGCCTCTCAAGGTACTATGTCGGTGTAGACTTGAGTCATTCATGTCAACTGAATGAACGCATCTTGGTTGTTGAAGACGTTTCAACTTGGGATTCTTCCATTCCAAATCTCGGTTTGCTAACGTCACCGTTGCTTGAGACAATCCACGGGAGAGTGATGTCGGGATAGTGTTAGCTGATGACCAGTCATGACGCAGACCTCCTCCTCTGTTTGGAGAAGGCAGCAGAACCGAAAGTTCCTTCTTTTTGAGATGCAAATGAACTGCTGACTCTGGACCCATGTCGTGCCATGTCTTAATTTTTGGTGGTTGCTCGGTCACGCCGATGTCAAGGGCACTGCACCCCTCACGACACTACACTGCACTGCATGAACAACATTGCTGAGTTTGCTGTTCTGGATTCTGTCCTTGGGTTTGAACCGTCTTTTGTCTGAGGGGGTCGCTGCGTTTGAAGACAAGCCACCCATGTAAAGGACCGCGGCGTTACTCCCCCTATTGTTGTCGTCCCCGGGATTGGTCTTCGTGGCTTTTCTTCTGTCAGATAAGACAAAAGCCCACATCTAACTGGGTCAGTCACAGTGACGAAGCTCTGCAGGAGCCTGGTAATGATCCTAAGCATTTGAATCAGGTTTATTGGAGGAGGGAAACATCTAAAATATTGCCCTCGAGGACCAGAGTTTGACACCCATGGTGGAAAGAATGTCATCGTGTGCAACAAGAAGGCACGCTCAGTTACCGCCAGTTTTTTTTTTATTCGTATTGTTGGATTGGAAGTGTTTTCATATGAAAATTTTCTGTAATTATCCATCCATCCATCTTCCGATCCGCTTATCCAGGGTTCCCACGGGTCCGTAAAGTTCATAAAAATAAATAAGAAAAGAAGTTGTAAAATTATGTTCTTAATTGTCCTTAATTTTCAGGGAAAGCTTCGAAAATCAATAAAAATCCGTAAAAAAAATATTTTTATTCCAAAATAAACTGGTTTTATATTTTCTAAATTTAAAATTTTCTTCGTGTACTTTATTTGAGAATGAATTCGGGTTTGTTTTTCATTTTCCGACCTGTAATACAGGTCGGAAAATGAAAATTTGACATACAGTATGTTAAATAAAGAGTTAGCTGATTGCCCCCAAAAATATAGATGTGCCCTTCCTTTGGCAGCAATGATTTGAACACCAGCTCAGTGATATGTGGCTTTCTATTTAGCTCGCATATTGCTGAGCGGACATTAAATCAACCGTGAATCCCCTGCTGAATGGAGAAAAAGTCCTTAAAAATTTGCTAAATTAGCCCTTGAAGTCCTTTAAAGTCCAAATATAAAAAGCAAGTGGAAGAGTGGGAACCCTGTTATCCTCACCAGGGACGCGGGGGGTGCTGGAGCCTATCCCAGCTGTCTTCGGGCAGTACACAGGGGACACTCTGAACCGGTTGCCAGCCAATCATAGGGCACACAGAGACGGACAACCATCCACACTCACACATTGGGACAATTTTGCGTGTTCAATCAGCCTGCTATGCATGTTTTCGGAAATGTGGGAGGAAACCGAGTACTCGGAGAAAACACGCAGGAGAACATGCAAACGCCACACAGGGAGGCCGGAGCCAGAATTGAACCCAGTGCTCTCTCTGGACTGTGAGATCGACGCGCTAACCACTGGACCACCGGGCCGCCCTTTTCTGGAATTATGAATTTAGTAATGCGTTAGGATGGGTTCCGGATAGACCTTTGGGCACCGTCACCGCTGTGTGAATGCAATTGTCATCAACTGAGCCTCTTTGAAGTGGCACACACTGTCATAGTAATTCCATCGCTTCACAGAGTCGAGTCAAAGTCTGTTCAAGAGCAAAATAGGCGACAAGTTTGGAACGCTACTTTGATCATCCCAAGCGTGTGTTGCTCAAGCAATGTTGGGCCTTTTTTGTTTTTTTCACAAAGGGAAGAAATGATGTCACGCCATTGCCCGCTTTGCGTTCCATCAGATTGCTCTGATGTTATCCTAAACTGCTCACTGGCTCCTTGTTTGGTTGAGTGACTTTGATGGTACACGCAAGGGGCCTCGGTTCAATGACAGCGATGCACAATGAACTAGTTTGCACAGTGGCGGAAGAAAATGTTGTCACAAGAAGGCATGTTCAGTTGTCCTGGTACTTGTTTTGGACTTTTGACCTAGGAATTAGAACATATCAACCGATAATGCGTTCTGTTTGGGTCACGTTCACTGACAATAACGGCCGGCGTGAACCAAGGACCCGCCGCGTATCGTCTCCCGTGCATTG